TTTTTTTTTTTTTTTTTTTTTTTTTTACAGGCCAGGAACAGCTGATAAAGGATGTGGTGATGCTGCCAGTGCGTGCAGACACCCTCAGCATGCAGAAGAGGCGGGTAGAGCTAGAGAGGAAGCTCTCCCAGATAGAAGAGGCCATCAAAATTTTCTCGAGGCCCAAGGTCTTCATCAAGCTGGACTCCTGAGCCAGTGGGGCTGGGTGTGTTGTGCTGCTCTGCGTGAATATCTTTCATTGCTGGAAAGGGACGATCGTCACTTCGGGAAGGAAGGAGAGGAAGGCAAGTTCAGGACCCTGGGCCCGTGCAGGTGCCAATACAGTGTCCAATGTGCAGCCGGCATCTCTTGCTCACCCTCCAGTGCTGTCTCTTGCCCATGGAAAAGGGAGGGAGATGCCCTAATATACTCTACACTCTGTGGTCTGGAGAACAGTTGTCTTTGTGCTGCTTGACTTCCCAGAGATCAGCTCTCTGCTCTGGATCCATGGCATCACCTCTTATTTTCCCATTTTTTCCCACTTCTAGAAACTGGTAGGAGGTCTCCTGTGCTGCTGTCTGTGGTGTTCCTTGTTCCCCTCTTTCTCCTGAGCTGGGCCATGGTCATGGCTCATTCTGGGCACCTGCAGACTTGTCTGCACAAAAACCTCGTGCTGTACGTCTGCCATGTGTGCCCTGGACCTGAGCACTGACCCATCCTGCTCACGCAGCCAATGCCTCTGCGCCCTCTGACCTGCTGGCTGGGCTCAGCAGCTCAAGGACAGCTTGGGGACAACGAAGAGGCGCAGAGCTTCAGTCCTTCCTGCCCAGGGAAGAGCTGGGCTGGCTGCAGGGGGATCTGGCAGATGTCTGGAGAAGTGTTTGTTTTCTGTGGGCAGGACTGTCCCATAAAACATCGTTTCCCTCTTTCAGTGTGCATCCAGCTCCCGGTGGGCTCAGCAGGGCCTGAGGAGTGCAGAAACCAGCAGCACTGATGTAGTGCAGGCAGGGGGAGAGCTGTGGGTCCTGATCCCACTTTCTGCAGAAGCCCAAAGTGGCCAGGGAGGTTGGGTTTCACAGTGCTGGGGTGCTGGGACATGGTGGTGGACCTGGAGTGGAGAATGTACGAAGTCCTGCCAGATCTCAGTCCACAGGCCAGCAGGACAAGGCTGGGCGGATGCCACCATGGAGGTGAGCTCGCTGCCTCCTTACCTTCAGATGCCACACAGGGACCTTTGCAGGGATCCTGCTGCGTGAAGCATAGAAAGATTTAAGCTAGAAGTGGTCGCTTGTCCAGCTGAATTAGGAAAATCTCCAAGGATGGGGTTGCCACCACCACCTTGCTGGGGCTCTGTCCCCAGGCTGTGCCACCCTTGGGGGAACACTTTCTCCCCTGAAGTCCCATCAAAATTTCTGTTGTTGCAGCTTGTGCCTGTTGCCCGATCTCCTTTTGCTGCACAGGGTGGGAATGCTGTGCACAGCTGCCCGAAGCAGGTGCCTTCTTGCACGGGGTTACTCCATCCCGGGCAGGATTTTGTGGGGTGGGGATGTTGCAGAGCGGTCCAGCCCTGCCTGCAGCACCTGGCACTCTGCGGTGCCCTCGGACGTCAGGGGCCAACGCTGCTGCCAAGGGCCGGGGAAGCTTTTAGCACTTGAGGGCTGGAGAAGGTGAGATGCCAACTGGAAGATCACCCTACGCTCCCCTGGGGCCGCCCTCGGGGCAAATGCTGCAGCCAGGCTGAGCCGGCTGGATGAGAACGGCGCTGAGAGCACCTGGGGACCGTGGGCACCAGCCCCCGTGTACCTCCCTGCCCTAAACAAGTCTGGACTAACCAGCCTTGCTGTCTGCTTTGCTCTCTTGCCTGTCTGGGCTCCGGCTGTGTGTCATGAGTGTTGCCCCACTCAGGAGCCCCAGGGCTGCCAGCCTCAGCCCTTGCTGCTCTCCCTGCCTGCACCCAGCAGGGCTGGGACACAGCCCCCCCGCTTCCCGGGGGGGGGGGGCACTGGCTCTGCTGCCAGCCAGGGTGCACCCTTGTGCCTGCACCCAGCCCAGGGCGCCCAGCATTGCCCCGTGGGAGCCAGGCCAGGGCACCCAGCACCATCTGCTCTCGCTTCCCACGGAGTTTAATCCAAGGACCACAGGAGAGCCCTTGTGCCATGAAGGGTCTGGCACTGCGCCAGTGCCCTCGCTCCCCCTGAGCACCCGCGTCCAGCTTGGGCGAACGAGCTGGAAAAGCACTGCCCTCAGGTGCACCCTACCTGCCGGACCTTGTGCCTGGGCTGCTCCGCCAGCAAACATCGCCAGTGGCCGCAGCGGTTGGGGCAGAGGTGTTGGTGCTGGTTCCGAAGGTTGATGCTGCAGGAGGTGTGGTGAGAGGGGGCGAAGGCCCCCGGGGACAGCCAGCCACTATCTAGCCCAGCCTGTTCCCAGCCAGGACAGGAGGACATGAGGCGGAGCTGTCACCACTGTGGGTCCAACAGGGCCCAGCAGCACCTTCCCGCTGGGGCGTTGCTCTGTCCCTGCGGGCAGGAAGGTGCTGGTCCGGGGCTGGGCCAGGCCAGCAAAAAAGAAAAGGCCAAAGCCACCATCAGCCCACCACTTTGGTGCTGGGAGTCCCAGGTGAGCAGGAAGGGTGGGTACGGCCCCCCTGAGCTCCGGGCTGGAGGAGGAGAAGGATGGAGCTGCACCACCCCCAGCAGCATTTACTGGGGCTGAGTGACAGCCAGGGTGTTGCTGCCAGCCCGGGTGCCACCCAGCTCCCTGCAGATGTCACTGGAGCGTCCTGTGTGTAGCGAGGGCACCACAGCAGGGACAAGGTGTGAACTGGGGGGGCCAGGCAAGGCTCATTGTGTCAGGCCACCATGCCAGGCTCGCTGCCCAAAACAGCCTGGACATGTGCCGTGGGACAGGGATGTGCAGGGGGAGGGATGTGCCCCAGCATCCCGTGGTCAAAGGTGCCGCTGCCAGGCGCTGCCTTGCATGCGCAGGGCTGGGGTCCCCACCCGCTGTCCCCCTCCTCCTGGGGCACCTGCAGAGCTGGTTGCGGGGTTCATGCTGGCCCACAATGGGACGGGCCACAGCACGTGGGACAGGGCAGTGGGGCTGGTGGGGGACATGCCTACCCTGTCCTATGGCACCCGGGCTGTTTGCTGTCCTGGAGGGGGCTGTACCCCGCAGCTGTTGGGGTCTGGCCTCTGCAGTTATGTGAACCAGGGACAAGCGGGGTGCTTTCTAGAAAAGGTTTTACTGTCCATTGCAATATATTAATTGATGATGCATATTTTGACAAAACAATAAAAAACCCCACTTGCTTGGAAGGAGGGGGGTGGGAGGAAAGGGGGCTCGGAGGGGCAGTGCCTGGCGGGAGCAGGTGCTGCAGCAGGGCTCCCGGGGATGTGGGTGGCGGGAGAGGGCAGCAGGCAGCCCCACTCTGCCCCTGCCCGGTGGCCCCATCATCGCCCCGGCGCCCACGACCAGCCTGGCTGCACAGAAACCCAGCCGGCCACCAAGGGTGGCATGGGAACCCGCGGCTATAGGGTGAGGAGGGTGCCGTCCTCCCGCCCACTGCCCCGGCCGGGGCTGCCGTCGTGGCTGCCAAAGGACTGCAGGGAGCCCCGCGAGCTGTGTGGGGACAGGCTCTGCTGGAGGGGTCCGTCCGTGGGGCCCCCATTGGGGCAGCCCCCGGGGATGTAGTGGGGTGTGCTGTCGCTCTCGATGACGAGGTCGCCCTCCTCGTCGCTCTCAGCTGTGCTGTAGTTGCTCAGGTACTGCGAGGCCGGGCTGGGGGTCTGCTGGCTGGGAGTGCTGTCTGTGGACATGCCTGAGCTGCCCGAGGCCTTGCTGCTGCGGATGACGTTGTTGCGCTGGTTGGCTGGTTTAACGGTGATGATGAGGTTGTGGCTATTGGCCACCATCATGTCCGTCACCTGGTCCAGGGACTTGCCAGCCACGTCAATGCCGTTGACCTCCAGGATCTCGTCGCTCACCGCCAGCAGCCCCGTGCTCTCAGCCAAGCCGCCCTTCACCAGGCGGGAGATGAAGATGCCGGGCACCTTCTCGACACCCTGCGGGGCCACGCGCACACTGACGCCGTCACGGATGTAGAAGCCCAGTGGCTTATCGGAGCCGTGCTTGTGAAGCCGCACACGGCGGTGGGTCTCGGGCAGGATGTCCACGTCAATGATGGAGGAGATCTGGCGGAAGTCCTGGGGCATGCCGATGAGGAGGTGAGGCTTGGCCCGGTAGTGCGTGGGGCGCAACAGACCCTTCTTCTTCCGCTGCAAGGAGTTCGAGGCGAAGACGCTGGCATCAGACTCTGCTGTAGGGAGCAAGGAAGGACACGGGTCAGGCACCGCAGCTGCCTGGGGATGCAACCACATGCCCTTGGCCCCAGGTGTTAGGGGAGCCAGCAGAAGTGCCCTGCTCATGGGTCTCACCAGCTTTTCCTCCCCAGAGCACACCCCAGCTTTTCCTGCAGCCTGTCTCCACCAGGCCCATCTCCTGGGATTACCCAGTGTACACGAGGCCAGGATTAGTGGGATCGAGGCAGTGATTCAGCCTTAATCACACTTTAAGCCAAACTCTGCAGCTTAACACTACAGCTGCCAGCCCTGATGGCCCAGGAGCCACAGCGGCTGTGCCCCAGTTTGGGTTTGGGGAGAGGGACCCCCCCTCTGCACGAGGGTGAGGCCAGCCCCGTGAGACAGCACCAGAGTCCCTTGGCCCTGCTGGAGCGGGGCCATCGCTGGCATGGGATGGGGGTGGCTGCAGCAGTGTCCTGCAGAGCCCTGCCATCCCCAAGGACAGAGACTCCCCACCTCCTGGAGACCCATCCCAGGGCTGCAGCGTCCCTGGGGCCTTGAACATCCCAAACCATGATTTGTGCCACTATCTCTTATTCCACCACCTGGCACCACTGCACAGGGTTTGACTCCATCCTCCTTGACCCTGCCCTGGGGCTGCTCCCTGGGGCCCAGCTCTGCCAAGTCCTCTCCAGATCGCATCCACCAGGTGCTGGAGAGCATCCCCTGGACCCTCTCTGGTTTCTCCCCATCCCTTCCCACAGGAGAGCCCAGATCTGGATGCTGCATTGCTGGTGCATTCCCCACGGTGTCCCCCACCAGCACCCAGACCCTGCTCCAGCCGCAGGGGCATGGGGGATGCCCCCAAGCCTGGGGGATGCAGGGTTTCTCCCTAGCTAAGCTAGCCTGCCAGGGCTTGTGGCTTATAAATATCTCCCTGCACACACAGCCTGGCGTATTTTTAGCTCGGGGAAGGGCGGCAGAGGCTTTCCCACAGCTATTTCAGTGCACAGCTCCTCTCAAAGGGGCATGGAGCAGCTGGGCCAGGCAGGTCCAGCACCCCGTGGACGAGCCCACCGGTGGCCCAGGCAATGTGATGGGCTTTCCCCTGCCCTTCCCATGAGCCAAGCCCAGCTAAGGATGGCCAGTGCCACTGTCCCCAGCCAGGCTGCCCTGTGGGGATGGCTTCACCCGATGGGGTGACGGCACAGAGAGGAACCAAGCTGTGGCCTTTGCTTTTTGACCCCCTGCATCAGGACCAGCTGCCGCAGAGCCCACCGATGGGTGCACACCTAGGTACACACGTGCGTGTGTGGCTCCCCACACCTGGTGTGTGAGAGAGGCACTGCAGCCGCATTCCTCGCCGACCTGGACTGGTTTGACCACAGCCCAGCCCCAGGATGACCTGGATCCATTTTAAATCAGCTGTGACTCACCCCAGGCTCGCTCCTGGCCTCTCCGCATGCCTCCTGCAGCGCTGCCGGCCCCACGGCCCCTCTCCCACAGGCACAGCTGGGTGCTGGCTCTGCCTCCTCATGCTCCTTATCGCGCTGCCCACGGTGCTGGGGCCACAGCTGCCCACTCTCTGCACCCTGCCAGCTGAGCACAGTCACCCACAGGCCCTCACAGGCTTTTCCCAGCAGCAGACAAGGTGGCTCTGGGAGCAGGAGCGATGCTCCTGTGGAAGCCCCAGCACAACCAGCCCCACGCCGGCTCTCCGTGCCGCAGCCTGGGTCCAGCCGTTCAGCGCTGGCAGCCACAGGCCCAGAGCACACCACAGGCGCTGGCGCCATCCTGCCACAGGAAAACTGGCCCAGGAAAACCGGCACAGCAGCTGGGGCCGGCCACTGGCATCACCCCTCGCCCAGGGACTTTGTACCACTAACATGAGCTGGAAATAGGGAGTCGCTCTGGGCACCATGCTGGGGAAAGTGAGGCTTTTAGATCAGGCTCCAGCTTTGCGCACTGTTGCTTTATGGTGCTACTAAAGAGAAAGCCTCGGTGCTACTAAACGGGGATGGGCTCGTCTCCCCGGTGAAGAGGAGACATACCCAGACTGTTTGTCACCAGGAGGCTTTCATCCTTGTTGGGATGCTGCTATCACACTGATTTCACGCTCCTGTGTGAGGAAGCTGCACTCTGGGAATGCACCACTAAGGTCAGGGTGAGCCCCAGGCAGCCAGGGAGGAGATGAGCCTCTTCCCACCACCAAAAACTCCATGGCACCCCGAGAGCTCTGCCAAAATGATGGCTGTTGCTGCCTTGGGGCAGGGAGCCAGACGGGGCTCCCTGCACAATGCTCACGCGAGTAACACAGTGTTTTCCGGGAGCCCACACAAGCCCTGCTGGAAAATGCGACTTCAAAGGGGTGAATCGCAAGGATTTGCCTTTGCTCGCCAGGGTACGCGGGGCTGGGCTGGCGTGGGTGTCTTTGCCATGGGGAAGGGCTGCCAGGGAGAGCCCACGTGGGTGCCACAGCCCCAGCGGGGCTCTGGGAGCCTCCTGGTGCCGCCACCTCTGGATCGGTCCACTATAGTGGTGGCTGGCACGTGTGTGACTGGCCGCCACCACTACCGGCACAGCCCAAACGTGGAACCAGTGGTACCGCGGGACGTGGCTCATTTCCCTTGATGGGGAGGACTTATCCGGTGCCCTTCTCTGGATCCAGTGCACTTCTCCAGCTCCGCTTACCCTTCTTCTGGATGATGACCCTGAGGAGGGGGTTGGCAGAGGACAGGGCTTTGTGGTAGTTGTCATCATTGTTGATGGGCAGGAGGTCGCCGTGGACGTCCGTGTAGCCCAGGAGCACATCCACCCGTGGGATCTGGTGCACCGTCTGCAGCAGGCGGTAGAAGTCCTGGAAGCTGCCCGCACCAGAGCGCTTCATGGCGAACCGGCGAAATTCGGCGTCAAACTGCAGAGGAGGAGGAGGAGGAGGAGGAAGAGGGTGAGGCTGGGCAGGGCTGGCTCTGGCCGGCAGGACTGATGCAGGCAGGGTGCTGCGCAGAGCTGCCCCGGGGCAGGCAGAGCCGGGCACCGCCGGCTCCAGAGCCCCGGCAGCACCAAGGCAAAAACCCAGGCAGCACCTGTCCCAAACGCAAAATAAAAGGAGCAGAGCCATTTTCCTGCCCCAACACCAAAGTGACGAGGCAGAGAGGTGCCCTTGTGGCGGAGGAAGGCCCTTCTGGCCGTACCGCCAGCCACGGTGGGCACCATGCTGCTGGGAGGCCCTTCCCTGCGACACGGGTGCTGCTGTAGCACCTGATGAGCAACAGCATTAATTATTGCCTCCTTCAGTCACGACAAAGGGGAAGCCAATTAAGAACAGGCTGAGGAACGCTGCAAGGATCATGCTGCCCAAGGGGGATCGGTCTGTTCCTGGGGCAGGTGGCAGCCGGCGCACCCCGGGAAGGAGGGCACTGTGCACCCCACCAGGGGCCCCAGGCAGGCAAGGGCACAGCTGGGTGAACGCACAGCTGGACAAGGGTGCAGCGGGGGAGCACACACGTACGGGCGAGCACAGGGCTGGGCGGGTGGGCACAGCTGGGTGAGGGCACACATCTGGGCAAGAGTGCGCCGGGTAAGCACACATCTGGATGAGCACACACATCTGGGGGAGACCACGTCTGGGTGAGCACACAGCCCACACAGCCGTGCGAGTGCACGCATCTGGGTGCACAGCAGGGGGCTCATCCCTTGGTGGGGGTGCCCGGCCGGGTGATGGCATAGCCGGGGACGTGCGTGCCCTGCTTAGCGGGCACATCTGGGCGAGAGCACATCTGGGCGAGGCGTGCGCCCGGGGTGACCGCGCACCCAGCGCGCCCGCAGCGGCGGGGCCACGCCGCACACCGGGGCTGCCAGCACCGCGCACCG